TAATTTTCTTCAGTATTATGGACAACACTATCCCGCTAACGAGTCAAACTAATACTGATTGCCCAGCAGTAGGGGATATCAGTATTGTTTTCGAAAGAACTCAGACTTCCGATAACCATAGACGAAGTCACAGATACTACCAATCTATTGAAGAGGGTTTGTTATGAAAAATATGTCATATAGCAGTAATAGAGGTATTGTACTCATTACGTAGTGCGTTAAAGCAAGCCTTACCCGAACAAGTGGTATCAGCCCCATCAGTGAATACTTTCAAGGAGAAGCTGGACCTTCACTGTAAAGCAATGTGTCAGGATTAATACAGGTTCACCAACCTACTATCCTTATTACTGAATACTGGAAACTAACATTGAAAAGCCGGAAATCTGCTATCAGTGTGTAGTTTATGTTTGCTGTTTTGGCCATAAAAGGAAGCCAAAGGGTCATGATCAGGGAATAAAAAGGTAATTAACTGTTATTAAGCTCACTTTTTTATAGATCATACTTCACCACTCGCAAATCTGTGTTTTTTTACTGTATGACATCAATATTTTCACCCTTACAATGAAAAATACCTGGAAATTCTCACCTTCATATTTGAATTATTTTTGGACAACTGCCTTCCAGTTTGATTGCTTCGTACGCCCTGGGAGACTGGATCCCTACATTATTCGTAGTTCCAGTATAACTTTCTCACGCAGTAATTTCAGAGTAGACACTAGTCTTTCTAAATAAGCCTGTTAAGCTAATATTCGTATTTTCTATTTCAGTTAATCGGTGAAGACATGTACCACGTGCATCTGTCTTATATTGCCATTTCACTCCAATTCTAACTGTTGTATCTTACTTTTAAAAAATAAAATTGCTATGTGCAGCAAATATAGACTTATTTGTTTTGATGGAGATAGGGGGGTTCATGGGTTTTTTAGCAGGACTGTAATATTCTCAGTAAAGAGCTAAGTGAGTGCGTATACCGGTGTAAGATACCATACAGGGTGCCTTTGAGTTACTCGTGTTCCATTAGTGTCGGTAGAGGCATGAGATTAGACACAGACGGTTAAGATGTGTAACGCGTGTGCATCCATCAGCGGCCGTGGAAACTCATGGTGGCTAGAATAAGTTGTGAAAGGACCCGAGTCTGTAGGTTTCCCAAGAGAATGACGAAGATATGCACCAAATCACCTTATGAAGAACGCCTCCAATCACTTAACCTCTACCCATTAGAGTATAGACGTCTTAGAGGTGACCTAATGGCTTACAGTATCCTTAACACTTCTGGGCATCCTCTTAAACACCTACTTAAACACTAACCTAAGGGGTAACACCCAGAAACTGGAGACACAACATAGCAGAACGGACTGTAGACGCAACTTCTATTCCTTATGAGTTGTCAAATGCTGGAATTCGCTGCTCGCCGAGCTAGACCATGAGACTTCTCAGGAGTCCTTTAAGAGGCAACTAGATATATTCTTAAGGATAAAATCATACTATGATTTACCAATTTCTTTTCCCTCTTTTATTGTTAATATACCTATGTTCCTACCTAGAGGTTTTGGTAATCGCCTGCTACTATACACGGAAGCCTGTTGAGCGAAAGCATCTACTCAGTCCACAACCGTTTGAACACATGAACTAGGTGCTGAGAGGCTCGCTTATCACAAGTTTCTTGCAGCGATTAAGTAGATAAAACAAAGTAGCCTTGGATTCAAAAATTTATTCAAGAACGTTCATTAAGAATCGAATATCAAACAAAGGTGTAAACCAAGTTTCCGTTTAGAAGTTGTATTGGTAATGTTGAGCTGCAGTTTTTGTTTTTTTCCAAACGAAAGAGTAAAAGAAGTAAGTCAAAAAATACTGGAAGTGGTTGTGAGACTAAAATGGACGTCCAGCATCCTTTTTATGATCTGCTGTTAGTTGGGTCTCCCGTAAACAGTTCCATAGGGCCATAGTTCTAAGGGCGAAACAGTTCTTAGGATCTGTGAAGGCTCACTCCTGTTGCATTCTGAATGAAAAAATAGTGAGTTATTTAGTCGGAAATGTGGAATAGATAAATAAACAAATTACATGTTTTTTAGCAAAGAATTTATGCAGTTGCGATTTACCTTGAGTTCATGAATATTAGGTCAGGTCAGCTATTACTTGTGCAAAGCATAACACGGACTTAATACCGTATCTCAATGCTTTTATTATTTTGCTCTCATTTAAGTATTACCATGTATCTGCATCTAGTTTAACAGGGAGACATACAAGCAGAGTTAGTGTTTGATGAACTAAAAGTCCTGGTTGTCAAAGAGATTCTTAACATTTGTCCACAGCCAACTGCATTTAATTGAGATACAGAACACTCATCTTCTAACACTATACTGCTCTTCTGCGGGCAACTAAAAGCTCACATACTTAGCTATCTTGCTACCGATGTTATTGCTGGGGAAATTGTTTAATGACAGAGATCATGAAATACGGTCAGTGATAGATGTACAATCTAGAAATAAACACCAAACATACTTATCGCTATCTTATAATGTATGACAGCAACAGTACCAAAAGTACTTTTTTCTAATTTTCAATCAGACTGATTTGAGTCAGTATACTCATCAGAAACAGGCAACTCTACTTACTAGACTGATCTGTTTCGTTACAGGCTTCAAGCACTATACTTAAGTATACCATAATTCTTTCAACTAAACTGAATAATACGACAACCAAGAATACTAAACTAAGCAAGTGTCATAGTTATTGTTTCATTTGCACAGGCATATTGCTTAAAGTAGTTAAATGGACATAATTAAGACGATAAAACAAAAACACGAAATATAGGCAAATTGAACTTACCTAACAGAAAACAAAGAATATATATATTGCTTTCCGACTGAAGACAACAGGCAGTTGTTCATAAAAACATAGTTTACAGTACAACAAACCTTTCTTCAGTAAAGTCATGCACTGACAGTCTACCTGGAAACAATCAACTATGTGAATAAACTCACTATGACTTGAGATATCATCCCAGCATGCAATGGACGTGCAGTGTAACGCAGTCGGACGTGGCGAATAAAAAATGAAAAAGAGCAAAATTAGCTGCATAATCTAGTTATTTAATTGAAAATACATTATGAAATGACAAAATATGTGGTTATTTGAACGCACAAATGACAGTATGCGATACATTAAGTTTACATGGTTGCGTTGCGGATAAGATCACCCCAAAACGGCTGCAATTAAACGGAACTCAACTTCGTAAATGTGCCCTTCAGCTTAGCAACCAATCAGAATGAGGCGGGAATGAACACATCCGCCATCTTTGTAAGTAATGGCGGTAGGCTTTCTTCGTTCTCTGCTTCTTTCAGTTACTTCTTTTGTGTAGCTATGTAATTTAATGTTTCGGTCTCATAAAATGCCGCAGTTAGTGTAATGTTCTACATGTTGGTGTGAAATTTACTGCGAATCAGCATTGTTTTTATTGTTATTGCTGCTTCTACTCAAGCCAATGTACTTCTTCAGCCAAGCTGGCTAGTCTTATGTTTTAAAATGGTAATTGGTTTTGTTTTGACTTGCATTTTAGATATCCAAAGCCGGAGTTCGTTCCTCTAGCTAGAATAACTGTTGTTGCTACCTGTGACTAACTGTCCGCATGTTCGTTCCTAACCGTTTTTTATGATGTTATCGGCAAAATGAAAGGGAACAATCTCGGGTTTTTAATTTTCTTCAGTATTATGGACAACACTATCCCGCTAACGAGTCAAACTAATACTGATTGCCCAGCAGTAGGGGATATCAGTATTGTTTTCGAAAGAACTCAGACTTCCGATAACCATAGACGAAGTCACAGATACTACCAATCTATTGAAGAGGGTTTGTTATGAAAAATATGTCATATAGCAGTAATAGAGGTATTGTACTCATTACGTAGTGCGTTAAAGCAAGCCTTACCCGAACAAGTGGTATCAGCCCCATCAGTGAATACTTTCAAGGAGAAGCTGGACCTTCACTGTAAAGCAATGTGTCAGGATTAATACAGGTTCACCAACCTACTATCCTTATTACTGAATACTGGAAACTAACATTGAAAAGCCGGAAATCTGCTATCAGTGTGTAGTTTATGTTTGCTGTTTTGGCCATAAAAGGAAGCCAAAGGGTCATGATCAGGGAATAAAAAGGTAATTAACTGTTATTAAGCTCACTTTTTTATAGATCATACTTCACCACTCGCAAATCTGTGTTTTTTTACTGTATGACATCAATATTTTCACCCTTACAATGAAAAATACCTGGAAATTCTCACCTTCATATTTGAATTATTTTTGGACAACTGCCTTCCAGTTTGATTGCTTCGTACGCCCTGGGAGACTGGATCCCTACATTATTCGTAGTTCCAGTATAACTTTCTCACGCAGTAATTTCAGAGTAGACACTAGTCTTTCTAAATAAGCCTGTTAAGCTAATATTCGTATTTTCTATTTCAGTTAATCGGTGAAGACATGTACCACGTGCATCTGTCTTATATTGCCATTTCACTCTGAGGATGATACAGGTATTCAGTGTTTGACAACGCTTCTACCAATAACACCTTCTAATATGCTTTGTTCCCACCGAGAGAAATCAAAAGACAGAGTCGAGGAGATCGGAAGAGTGTATTTGGCAATAACCAATATATCGGGAATCTCTGATCTAATCTGGCTAGTGATTGCGATTGTTGTTGAGCACAGCGTGACAGCACGTGATCTGGTGCGGATGCATGACCGAGCGCCTTCAGCTAGATGAGTCCACTAAAACATATGGTCAGCATCCAATGTCGAAAACCTATTGAGCTATTTAGTTTGGGGATTTATTTACCGCTACAGATCACTCCCCCCCTAGTGGGGCAGTGATGACCCTAAGACGTGGCCAGCCAGAAGTTTAAACCCAACGAGTTTGTCGTTGGTAAACACTCTTCTGATAGCTTACTAAATTTAGCAGCGTCTGGTCGTCTTTCCTTACTGTATGGGACCGGAGTACAACATAGTAAAAAAAAAAATGTACAATGAAAGTTTCGTATCCTCATAAACGTCATCGTTCTTTTCCAGCCGTCCTGGAAAAGAAGAAAGAAAATGTAAGTGCATGTCGAAAATACACTCGTATGTGCGTAAAAAAAGGGAAAATAAACTCATGAAACGTAACAGCGTTAAAAAAATCGTTTTTTTTTTGGTTTTTTTTTTTAAAAATAGAATTGAAAATATATAAGCCTATTTTAAAAAAAATTTTTTTAATAATATAGAAAATGTCGAGAAGTGCCTTACGTGCAATAGTCATTTAAATGTTCTGGAAATCTTACTCTTCTTCCAGAACGTGTCGTTTTAAGTTTATTTTCGGATACTGTCGAAGTATCATCGTGTGTGTTGGTTGTCGGATGAGGTATTATAAGTATCGGAGTCGTGTCGTTCAATTGTACCGAAGGAAAATCCACGTAGATAGGATTTCCTTCTAAATACGCTGCTTTGAGGCGATCGATGCTGATGCTATCGTTGGTTCCGTTCTTATCGATTATATAGTACTTCGGTTCGCGTTGAAGAACTTTGAAAGGTCCTTCGTATGCTGATTCGAAAGGTCGTCGATGCGAGTCTCGACGAACGAAAACGTGTGTACTATATCGTAACTCAGGTTGAATGAAAACATCAGTTGATTGAGGTCGAGTGGAAGCAGGTTTAACTGAACGCATTGCGTTTGTAAGCCTGTTCGTGTAAGAGGTTAGATCCATGCTCAATGAAGAGAATGAAGGATCCACGAATTCTCCTGGAAGTCGAAGTGTTGTTCCATAAACGAGTTGAGCCGCAGTGTATCCAATGTCAGCTTTCACTGCATTGCGGATACCTAGTAAGACGAGTGGAAGAGCGTCGGTCCACTGTGAAACGTTTGCAGCTGATAGTGAAGCTTTTAGTTGTCGGTGAAAGCGTTCTACCAACCCGTTTGCTTGTGGGTGGTAGGCGGTCGTTCGGAAGCGAGTGCTTCCTAATAGTGTGGTCAGACGACGGAAAAGTTCAGACTCAAACTGACGTCCGCGGTCTGTGGTGATGGTTGAAGGGCAACCGAAGTTTGCTACCCATCGTTCGACGAAGGTTCGGGCCACTGTTTCAGCAGTGATGTCCTTGATAGGTACTGCTACTGGCCATCGAGTGAAACGATCTACACAGGTCAAGAGGTAAGAGTATCCATTTGAATCTGGTAAAGGTCCTACCAAATCCAGATGAACATGGTCGAAACGAGCATCGGGAGTTTTAAATGAGCCTAAGGGACATTTATTGTGTCTGATGACCTTAGATTTTTGGCAGCTTACACAGGAGCGTGCCCACTCCCTCACGTCTTTATTCATACCAGGCCAGCAAAAGCGTTCTGCTATGAGCTTGATGGTTGCACGAACACCTGGATGAGAAAGTTTGTGCAATGTGTTGAAGACATTGCGTCGATAATGTTTCGGAACGATTGGGCGATCTCTACCTGTAGATGTGTCACAAAGTAAGGTTTCCTTACCTGTTCCCATCTGTTTGATGCGTAGTTTAAGGGTTGTGGACGATAACTCTTGCTGAAGATCAGTGTCTTCTTTTTGAAGCTGGGCGAGTTTAAGAAGGTCGATTCCTTGGAAACTGTTCAAGGAGTTTATTCGAGACAAGGCGTCTGCAACTACATTGTTTGCTCCAGAAATATGTTGAATATCTGAAGTAAACTGCGAAATGTAGTCCAGTTGTCGAGACTCACGGGGAGAGTACTTGTCAGAAGGAGAGCTTAACGAGAAAGTGAGCGGTTTATGGTCAGTGAATAGAGTGAATTCGCGGCCTTCGATATAGTGTTGAAAATGCCGTACAGCACAATACATAGCTAGGAGTTCCCTACCGAATGTGCTGTATCTCGATTCGGTGTCTAGCAACCGTCTAGAAAAAAATGCCAAGGGTTGCCAGGAGTTGTTAATCCATTGTTGTAAGACTCCTCCGATTGCCGAGTCGGATGCGTCTACTGCGATACTAATGGGTGCTTCAGTGTCCTGATGTGCGAGCATTGTTGCTTTAGCGATCAGTTCCTTAACTGTGGAGAATGCTTTTCGTGCGGTGTCGTCCAAATTAATGGATTTCGCATTTCCACGCAGTTGGTCAGTAAGAGGTTTCATAAGTAATGCGCATTTCGGTATGAAGCGTCTATAGAAACTTACCAGGCCGTTAAACGTGCGTAATTGCTTGACGTTGGTCGGTTCTGGGTAATCCAGAATGGCCGCCACTTTGGTCCTAAGAGGTCGAATGCCTTGAGCATCGATAGTGTGTCCTAGGAAATCTAACGAATCGGTTCCGAATTGGCATTTCTGAACGTTTACAGTAATGCCATGTTTTTGTAATCGTTCGAAAACAAGATCCAGATGCTTGAGATGTGATTCTCTGTCCGGACTTGCGATTAAGCAGTCATCAACATACGCATGTACGAAGTTGAGGCCTCGAAAGACGTCGTCTATGAATCTTTGGAAAGTTTGCGCAGCGTTTCTTAGACCGAACGGCATTCGCAAAAATTCATAGAGTCCGAAAGGAGTTATGATAGCTGTTTTTGGTATGTCGTTTGTAGCCATAGGGATTTGGTTATACGCTTTAACCAAGTCGATTTTCGAAAAGACAGTTGTACCTTTCAAGGTAGCTGTCAAATCGTGAATGTGTGGCAACGGGTAACGATCGGGAATGGTTTTTGCATTCAATCGCCGATAGTCACCAGTCGGACGCCAATCGTTGCTGTCCTTTTTAGGGACCATGTGCAACGGAGATGCATAAGGGCTGTTTGACGGTCGTATGATTCCTAAGTCTATCATATGATCGAATTCGTTTTTCGCTAACCTCAGCTTTTCCGGAGCTAGTCGTCGTGCTTTAGAGAATACAGGTGGTCCTGTAGTCGTGATGTGATGTGTAACATTGCTGGTTACACACGGTAGTTTCGTTTGAGCTTGTTGTATCCCAGGGTACTTGTCGAGTAGTGGTTGATAGAGTGGGTCTATCGAATGCTTAACTGTGACTGGGGATAATCTACAACCAGAAAAAGAAGTTACGCAAACGGATAATTTAGTGTTTCCATCTACTAGCCTCCGTTTGCGCGTGTCGATGATTAGATTATGATGTTGTAGAAGATCCATACCAATGATTGGCATAGAAACATCTGCAACAACGAAAATCCAATGGATGGGTTTGCGTAAACCCACGTTAAGGTAGACGTACCTTTTGCCATACGTGGCGATTGATTTTCCATTTGCCGCCTGTAAGTTTAGAGTTGATTCGTGGAGCCGGTCGTTATGATTTGCTGGGAGAACGCTAACTTCTGCGCCAGTGTCGACGAGGTAGCGAACTCTCGTTGTCACATCTGTGACGTACAACAGACGGCTATGTTCGCCGGCTACGGTTGCCGTTAACGCGTGCCGGCTTAGAAGTTTCCCGAATTGTTTTTCGAGTCAGTCGTTTTCGTGTTGGGAAAATTGCAGGGTTTTCTGCAATTTCTGGAAGATTTCCCATACTGGTTATGATACCAGCACCAGTCAGGGTTATCCGTCTCTCGTGGTCTAGAGACAGATCGTTTACGCGAAATGCTTCTACGTGGACTGCGTGAGCGACTACGGTCGTTACGAAGATTAAGATAACGCGTGAGTGTATGACATAACTCGGTTATGTCATTCTGAGTCGCGTGAGGCTTTTCTTTGACGGAAAATACCTCTGAAGTAGACGATTTCGTTATTTCTAAAATACGATCGGCAGATGCAGCTAGCTCGTCTAAGGCGTTGTTCTGAAATGAGACCAGAACCGCTTGCACCTGTTGAGGAAGTTTAGATAAGAAAAGTTGTTTAAATAGACCTTCGTCGAAAGTCCTTAGGCCTATCACTTCTCTCATTCTTTGCAACATGTCAGTCGCAGAACCGTGTTGCAGGTCGATGTTATTGAAGAGTTGATCTAACCTTTGTCGATCGGTTAGGTCTCCTCGTTTAAGAATCGAACGTTTAAGGATTTCGTAAGGTTCGGAAACATCACTAGTAAACATACTAGGTGTTACGTACCTGTTGAATTCGCGCGGTAGTGCCTTGACTACTGCGAGGAATTGTGCACGTGTGTCGATCACGCCGTGCTCGGAGAAGTCAGCTTCTGCGTAGCAGAACCAGGCTTCGATATTGTCGGGCCAGAAAGGCATGAGTTGAAAAGAAGGCGGGGACAAAGTCTTAAGCTTGAGTACTTTGGGTGTCTGTTCAGCCATGATGAAATATGAAGTAAGATAATGAACGAGGGGAAAATATATATATATCCAAGGAAAAACACGAAAAAAAAATCACAATGTTTAAAAAAAATAAGGTAATGATATATAAAAATCCCAAAAAGGAACAGACTCACAGTTGAAATTAGGTGTACCAGATCACGACGGTCTCACCAATGAGGATGATACAGGTATTCAGTGTTTGACAACGCTTCTACCAATAACACCTTCTAATATGCTTTGTTCCCACCGAGAGAAATCAAAAGACAGAGTCGAGGAGATCGGAAGAGTGTATTTGGCAATAACCAATATATCGGGAATCTCTGATCTAATCTGGCTAGTGATTGCGATTGTTGTTGAGCACAGCGTGACAGCACGTGATCTGGTGCGGATGCATGACCGAGCGCCTTCAGCTAGATGAGTCCACTAAAACATATGGTCAGCATCCAATGTCGAAAACCTATTGAGCTATTTAGTTTGGGGATTTATTTACCGCTACAACTCCAATTCTAACTGTTGTATCTTACTTTTAAAAAATAAAATTGCTATGTGCAGCAAATATAGACTTATTTGTTTTGATGGAGATAGGGGGGTTCATGGGTTTTTTAGCAGGACTGTAATATTCTCAGTAAAGAGCTAAGTGAGTGCGTATACCGGTGTAAGATACCATACAGGGTGCCTTTGAGTTACTCGTGTTCCATTAGTGTCGGTAGAGGCATGAGATTAGACACAGACGGTTAAGATGTGTAACGCGTGTGCATCCATCAGCGGCCGTGGCAACTCATGGTGGCTAGAATAAGTTGTGAAAGGACCCGAGTCTGTAGGTTTCCCAAGAGAATGACGAAGATATGCACCAAATCACCTTATGAAGAACGCCTCCAATCACTTAACCTCTACCCATTAGAGTATAGACGTCTTAGAGGTGACCTAATGGCTTACAGTATCCTTAACACTTCTGGGCATCCTCTTAAACACCTACTTAAACACTAACCTAAGGGGTAACACCCAGAAACTGGAGACACAACATAGCAGAACGGACTGTAGACGCAACTTCTATTCCTTATGAGTTGTCAAATGCTGGAATTCGCTGCTCGCCGAGCTAGACCATGAGACTTCTCAGGAGTCCTTTAAGAGGCAACTAGATATATTCTTAAGGATAAAGTCATACTATGATTTACCAATTTCTTTTCCCTCTTTTATTGTTAATATACCTATGTTCCTACCTAGAGGTTTTGGTAATCGCCTGCTACTATACACGGAAGCCTGTTGAGCGAAAGCATCTACTCAGTCTACAACCGTTTGAACACATGAACTAGGTGCTGAGAGGCTCGCTTATCACAAGTTTCTTGCAGCGATTAAGTAGATAAAACAAAGTAGCCTTGGATTCAAAAATTTATTCAAGAACGTTCATTAAGAATCGAATATCAAACAAAGGTGTAAACCAAGTTTCCGTTTAGAAGTTGTATTGGTAATGTTGAGCTGCAGTTTTTGTTTTTTCCAAACGAAAGAGTAAAAGAAGTAAGTCAAAAAATACTGGAAGTGGTTGTGAGATTAAAATGGACATCCAGCATCCTTTTTATAATCTGCTGTTAGTTGGGTCTCCCGTAAACAGTTCCATAGGGCCATAGTTCTAAGGGCGAAACAGTTATTAGGATCTGTGAAGGCTCACTCCTGTTGCATTCTGAATGAAAAAATAGTGAGTTATTTAGTCGGAAATGTGGAATAGATAAATAAATAAATTACATGTTTTTTAGCAAAGAATTTATGCAGTTCTGATTTATCTTTAGTTCATGAATATTAGGTCAGGTCAGCTATTACTTGTGCAAAGCATAACACGGACTTAATACCGTATCTCAATGCTTTTATTATTTTGCTCTCATTTAAGTATTACCATGTATCTGCATCTAGTTTAACAGGGAGACATACAAGCAGAGTTAGTGTTTGATGAACTAAAAGTCCTGGTTGTCAAAGAGATTCTTAACATTTGTCCACAGCCAACTGCATTTAATTGAGATACAGAACACTCATCTTCTAACACTATACTGCTCTTCTGCGGGCAACTAAAAGCTCACATACTTAGCTATCTTGCTACCGATGTTATTGCTGGGGAAATTGTTTAATGACAGAGATCATGAAATACGGTCAGTGATAGATGTACAATCTAGAAATAAACACCAAACATACTTATCGCTATCTTATAATGTATGACAGCAACAGTACCAAAAGTACTTTTTTCTAATTTTCAATCAGACTGATTTGAGTCAGTATACTCATCAGAAACAGGCAACTCTACTTACTAGACTGATCTGTTTCGTTACAGGCTTCAAGCACTATACTTAAGTATACCATAATCCTTTCAACTAAACTGAATAATACGACAACCAAGAATACTAAACTAAGCAAGTGTCATAGTTATTGTTTCATTTGCACAGGCATATTGCTTAAATTAGTTAAATGGACATAATTAAGACGATAAAACAAAAACACGAAATATAGGCAAATTGAACTTACCTAACAGAAGACAAAGAATATATATATTGCTTTCCGACTAAAAACAACAGGCAGTTGTTCATAAAAACATAGTTTATAGTAAAATAAACCTTTCTACAGTAAAATCATGCACTGACAGTCTATCTGGACACAATCAACTACGTGAATAAACTCACTATGACTTGAGATATCATCCCAGCATGCAATGGACGTGCAGTGTAACGCAGTCGGACGTGGCGAATAAAAAATGAAAAAGAGCAAAATTAGCTGCATAATCTAGTTATTTAATTGAAAATACATTATGAAATGACAAAATATGTGGTTATTTGAACGCACAAATGACAGTATGGGGTGATCTCATCCGCAACGCAACCATGTAAACTTAATGTACCGGTCATCTGTGCGTTCAAATAACCACAGGTTTTGACATTTCATAATGTATTTTTAATTAAATAACTAGATTATATAGCTAATTTTGATCTTTTTTTATATTTTTATTCGCCACGTTTGACTGCGTTACACTGCACTTCCATTGCATGCTGGGATGATATCTCAAGTCATAGTGAGTTTATTCACGTAGTTGATTGTGTCCAGATAGACTGTCAGTGCATGATTTTACTGTAGAAAGGTTTATTTTACTATAAACTATGTTTTTATGAACAACTGCCTGTTGTTTTTAGTCGGAAAGCAATATATATATTCTTTGTCTTCTGTTAGGTAAGTTCAATTTGCCTATATTTCGTGTTTTTGTTTTATCGTCTTAATTATGTCCATTTAACTAATTTAAGCAATATGCCTGTGCAAATGAAACAATAACTATGACACTTGCTTAGTTTAGTATTCTTGGTTGTCGTATTATTCAGTTTAGTTGAAAGGATTATGGTATACTTAAGTATAGTGCTTGAAGCCTGTAACGAAACAGATCAGTCTAGTAAGTAGAGTTGCCTGTTTCTGATGAGTATACTGATTCAAAACAGTCTGACTAAAAATAGGAAATAAGTGCTTTTGTTACTGTTGCTGTCATACATTATAAGATAGCGATAAGTATGTTTAGTGTTTATTTCTAGATCGTACATCTATCACTGATCATATTTCATGATCTCTGTCATTAAACAATTTCCCCAGCAATAACATCGGCAGCAGGATAGCTAAGTATGTGAGCTTTTATTTGCCCGCAGAAGAGCAGTATACAGTCTTAGAAGATGGCTGCTTTGTATCTGAATTAAATGCAGTTGGCTTTGGACAAATGTTAAGAATCTTTTTGGCAATTGGGACTTTTAGTTCAAACACTAAATTTGTTTGTATGTCTCCCTGTTAAACTAGATGCAGATACATGGTAACACTTAAATGAGAGCAAAATAAAAAAAGCATTGAGATACGGTATTAAGTCTATGTTATACTTTGCACAATAAATAGCTGAACTGACCTAATATTCATGAACTAAAGATAAATCAGAACTGCATAAATTCTTTGCTAAAAAACATGTAATTTGATTATTTATCTATTCCACATTTCTGACTAAATTCATTACTGTTTTCTCATTTAGAATGCAACAGGAGTGAGTCTTCAAAGATCCTAAAAACTGTTTCGCCCCTAGAACTATGGCCCTATGGAACTGTTTACGGAAGACCCAACTAACAGCAGATTATAAAAAGGATGCTGGATGTCCATTTTAATCTCACAACCACTTCTAGTACTTTTTGAGTTACTTCTTTTACACTTTCGTTTGGAAAAAACAAAAACTGCAGCTTAACATTACAAATGCAACTTTTAGACTGGAACTTGGTTTAAA